TTTACAAATATTACATTATAACAAACTAAGTACTATGCTACATATATACTTATGTGATGCATATTTACATATTTTTAGTACATTTCCCCAGAACACTCTCCCTTACTCTCCCCCAGAACACTCTCCCTTACTCTCCCCCAGAACACTCGCCCTTACTCTCTCCCAGAACACTCATCCTTACTCTCCCCCAGAACACTCTCCCTTACTCTCCCCCAGAACACTCACCCTTACTCTCCCCCAGAACACTCACCCTTACTCTCCCCTAGAACATTCACCCTTACTCTCCCCCAGAACACTCACCCTTACTCTCCCCCAGAACACTCACCCTTACTCTCCCCCAGAACACTCACCCTTACTCTCCCCCAGACACGAAGATAGGACAAAGGGGTACCACTGAGGCGTGAACGTCAATAAACCAGAAATGAAGCTATCCACAGGGTCTTTTCCCACAAGGGAATGGCAGCAATGGAAGCCCCCACCCCCCCTACATTGAGGTACCAAACAACTGAATATCTCAATGGGTCCAATACCATAATGGGTCTATTTATTTGGATGCAAAATGTAAGATAAAATGGAAAGAATCGGAATATCTACATTGTAGCCAGTTTCGTGCAATGAACAAGTTGAGCATGCGGCAGGCCAGCCCCATCTGTCGACCAGACCTTACATCAGATATTCACAGTGACTTCACCTTGGATGTCTAGACAATCATTTTTAATCTGATATGTGTATATGAGTGAATAAATGTATACTGTATAGAAATAAAAACATAAAACTAAGGAAACTGCATAAGGCCTATTGGCCTCTACAAGGTGGCTCCTATTTATATTGTGGATATACAGTAGATAGGAGCTCTCTTATATGGGCCAATTGACCCATATATGAGTAAATTTGGGTGGATATAAGTAGATTTCAAATGGGCCAATAGGTCTTCTGCAATTCATTTATTATGTTCAAATGATGATTGTTTGATCTGGTGTACTTCATTACAACCATATATAGCTGTGAAAACCATATGATTATAATCAGTATACATATGTAACTATAATGGAATTTTATGCTGTGATGATTACTGCACTGGTATAGTGACATTTGTGACGATAACTGCATTTGCATCGTAAGGCAATCATGAAACTATCGCAGGCTCTTTTCATGGATCAAGATAAACTCAATACGGTACTGTACATTCGTATAGAGCTATTAGAGTATATTCATTTTAGCATCAGGGGTGTAAAATCCAGACAATAATAAGCTAAATCAACATAATGGCCACCCATCCTCCTAAAACGATGGTACGCTTCGTAACTGTGTCGTCAATCATACCAGTAGGTAGTAATGGAGCCCAAGAAAGACACTTTTTGTACTATTTTTTGTAGATTCCAGATACAATGAAACTAAAAACCATACTTAAATATTCCTTGGCCTAGCATAGCACATATATGTACTAGATTAGGCATCAGATAATATGTATTAGGCCTAGGATGGTTAGGTTAGGTTTTATTAGCTACATAAATATAAAAAATTTTCCTATATGTCCAAATTCAAGAATACAAAAGTCTATTTTCTATTGGTCCATCATGACATATTTGTAATATCGACCACATAGTTACTATACATACAGTACTTTCATTTTAGGACGATATGCTGGATGATAACTGTATTATCCCTGCTTGATACCTGCTTGATCCCATAAATGAACATACAAGGATAATCATACTTTAGGGGTTAATAAAATACTAAGCAGTTTGGTTTAAAATGGGATCTCCAGTAACTCATCCCTATATAAAATGGGGTCTCCAGTAACACATCCCTATATAAAATGGGGTCTCCAGTAACACATCCCTATATAAAATGGGGTCTCCAGTAACACATCCCTATATAAAATGGGGTCTCCAGTAACACATCCCTATATAAAACGGGGTCTCCAGTAACACATCCCAATATAAAACGGGGTCTCCAGTAACACATCCCTATATAAAATGGGGTCTCCAGTAACACATCCCTATATAAAACGGGGTCTCCAGTAACACATCCCTATATAAAACGGGGTCTCCAGTAACACATCCCTATATAAAACGGGGTCTCCAGTAACACATCCCTATATAAAACGGGGTCTCCAGTAACACATCCCTACATTAAATGGGATTTCCAGGAACACCATTTTCGTGCAAATTTTGAAAACAGGGCAAACTGATTTCAAAGTAACCCCTCAGGGCAAAAAAATTAAATAAATATTTTGGGGGATTTTGCATGTGCAAAATAAGTGTAAAAACCCCCATTGAATGTAATGAAACACCATTATCTGGGTGAGCCCCAGAGGCTCCGTGAAGCTATCCGAACTTGTATGTGCTGCATTAGTTTGGGGTCATCAGTCACAAGAGTTCGTACGCCTACTGGGAACCACGAGCCAAAACCTGGTCCCCTCAGAGAGGCGCAGGGAGCAATGGTGTAAGAGCACTTTACATTTAAAGTCTGTCGTAATTGCCATCGACTGGGGAAGGAGCCAGAAAGGAAGGTGAATCAAAATAGACCACTGTCTGGTTAACCTTTGCAATCTGCATCACAAAACATGAAAATAACTCTGCTAGAAAAAAACAAAAAGCCAACCCTTTATGTGACTAGCACTTCTGCTCGTTAGCACCAACCCTCTCCCCCCCCCATATGGGGGAAGGGGGACCGGCAACTCACCACTCAATTTCTTGAATGATGAAACATTGCCGACCGGAGGGAGGGAGGAAGGGAGGGTGTCGAGGGATCCTCTGGGGCTCACCCAGAAAATGACATTTTATTATATTCAATGCAGATTTTCTGTGGGGGAGCCTGTGGAAAAAACTTCCAAGAAGGGAGTCTGCTGGGTTGACCCAGAAGCCTCAGCGGAAAAGGCGAGAAAATCAGACTCAACCATCTCTGCGCCTGAATTGGAAGGGGGCAAGCTCCCGAAGCCACCCGAGCCTCATCCCGTGCTAAACCCCGCCCTGACTTCGAAACCTTCAGACGTCTGGGAGCTGGAAGCAGGGGATGGGGGGATAGGGGAAAAGGAACAGGCGCAAACCACATCCACTTGGGAAGGAAGCAGGGGCGCGGAAAGAACCAAGGTCGAAGCAACCAACACCCCCAAATCCTGGACCCTAAGCCCCAAGTGGGGCAGCTCTGGGGCCTCCAACCGGGCAACCAACCCAGCTCATTGCAGTAACGAGAATCGAGAATGAAATGCAGCCGCTTCCTGACCCTTGAGATCAATAGACAAGGAATAAGCAAGGTGAAGTAAAAGTGGGGAACAAGGCCCGCGAGACTCACAGGTTGGTGGTGTCCCCAACCCAACAGGCAGAGTGACGGAGGCAGTACAGATGATCGTTTCCCCGAGGCAGGGGCAACACACAACCATCAACTTCGCACAAGGTGAGAGCGGGCTCGGAAGAAGTAGCCATTGTAGCTACTAGTTTGCTGTATGTAAATCTTGTCTCCTGCCAATGTGGAGTCAGAGAGGTAATGTAAGATTTAGGTGGTAAAGTATTTCTGTTGTACTTGGGGGTTTTAGGGTTAATAAATTATATTAATGTAAAACTTCAGCTGAAGTTTCCATCACCCATCTGGTTCAGGGGTTAGGTGATCTGCACTAGACAGCAGTCCTTTCATAATTCATTATTTATTTGGGATCTGTTTCCCTAGTGGTTAGGCCTTTCCTAACCCCATTAGGTGGAACTCCCTTACCTTGATTTTTATCCTAACTCAGCCCCCATGACATAACATCGAGCCCACTGGGGATTTCCAGGGCCCGTAGGGTGAATTAGCCCCCATGGGAAGCCCAGGCACTGGGGCGAGTTAAGCCAGTAGAACCCTGTCAGGTAGCAGGCAAACTGACCACCAGTAGTAGCTATGAAACCTAGGGGGCAACAGAGGAGGATTACCAACACAACTTAGGCATGCCTAATAATACGTTAAGCATCCATCTAAACGAGGCAAAAATGGCAGTAAACGAAAAGAAAATGAAAACAAAACCCCCGAAGACACACAACAAACAAACTGGCAGCCAGAGAGAAACATCAGCCGCTTCATTGAAGTTAAGCTAGCTGTGCCAGCTGCAGTGTGCCCCACCCACTCCCCTACCCGAGGCAAGACAGAAAACCCTAGACCCCCGACGTACCCTAAGGGATAGAAAACACCAAGCAATGAAGTCCTCGAATGGGGAGTGATTCCCGAACACCCCAGAGAAGATAAACCTGACATGCAAGGGCAATACTCACGGAGCACCTTGGAAAGGTGACCATAGGCACATGGTGCTCCTGTACACTAACACACCTGGACACCACATCAACACACAGCCACACACAGCAAAAATCCAGAACATGAACTTGAGGTAAGAGGTGCTGACCTGACCACAAGCACATCAGCTTAGGAACTGGAGCGGTGGGTTGCCAGTCCCCACCCCCTCCTTTTCCTATAGAAGGGAGGGGGTAGCAAAGGGCTGCTTGTTTGATTTCTTTCTAAGGAAGTTATTTTGATCTTTTGTGATGTAGATTACACAGGTTAGCCAGACAGGTCTGTTTTGATTTGCCTTCCTTTTTGGGTCCTTCCCCAGTCGATGGCAATTATGACATACTTTAAATGTAAAGTGCTCATAGGCCATTGCTACCTGTCTCTCTCTGAGGGAACCAGGGTCTAGCTTGTGGTTCCCAGTAGGCCTAAGAACTTCTGTGACTGATGACCCCACACTAATATAGCACATATCAGTTCAGATAGCTTTAGGGAGCCGATGGGGCTCCCCACAGAAAAGTAACCATACTTTCTATAGAGCAGCGATTCCTAACATTTTATGGGATGGCTCTATTTTCTAATATAGAACCATACTCAAAAGAGCCCCAAAGTGGGTCACAATCCACCAGTTGGGAAGCTTGGGCTCTAAAGTCTTTGTTAAGAAGTATTTGAAAAAACTATACTTTAATTCACAAAAATAATGACATGATTTTTTTTAAAATGACGAGAACAGAAACAGTGCTTACAGTTGAGTGACTTGCCGTGCCAGGAGGAGCAGTGGCTGACCCAGAGGGAGGGTGCGTAGAAGACCCTCTGGTGTCCCCTTCTGCCGTGTCTCCCTCCATGAAGCCTGAGGAGTCAGACTGGGCACTTCCCGACCGACACAAGTGTCCACTTGCACCCAGCCTCCCACCATCATCCTGAGAGCCATCATGTCCTCCAAATCGTATCTGGCATATTAATAAGAATAACAATTACTGTGATAATGAATTCTGGTAACAACAGCCAAGATTAATTATAAATGAGAATATGACAGACACAATTATTCTGACATATTAGAGCTACAGTTTATCAGTATGATAAGCACTCTTAGAATACACAGACGTTTCTGATGCAAATTACACTATTTAAACATGTTATATATCACAATGTTGATATAGTCATTGATTATGCACCCTATACCCATCCCATGGGCAGTGGTAGAAAGGATTAGTGTCACAATATAGTAAATTAAATTATTGTACTACAAATATATGCTACATGGGACGGAAATCAAATGGGACGGTGGTCGGCCGAGCAGACAGCACGCTGGACTTGTGATCCTGTGGTCCCGGGTTCGATCCCGGGCGCCGGCGAGAAACAATGGGCAGAGTTTCTTTCACCCTATGCCCCTGTTACCTAGCAGTAAAATAGGTACCTGGGTGTTAGCCAGCTGTCACGGGCTGCTTCCTGGGGGTGGAGGCCTGGTCGAGGACCGGGCCGCGGGGACACTAAAAGCCCCGAAATGATCTCAAGATAACCTCAAGAAGATACACCCAAACACCACACAATACCCAGAATATACACAAAGTAACCATTCAACATACACACAGCAACTGTCCAACACACTCAGCAACCCTCCAACACACATACAGCAAACCACCCAATACACACATGATAACTATCCAATATACACGCAATAATCGTCTAATACACACACACATCTTCATGTACAGGAGTCTTGGTAGATATATGGAAAAAGGCAAACACAGTTCCAATCTACAAAAATGGTAGGAGGGAAGACCCTCAAATACAGACCTGTATTACTGACAATAGTAGTCAAATCACTAGAAACAATAATTAAAACCAAATGGGCAGAAGACCTGGAGAGAAATTATATAACAGAAAACAGCATGGTTTTCAAACAGGAAGATCTCTTGTAACAAAGAACCCTGAACGTCAAAGAGGGAGACCCTAGGAAGACCCCCTAGGAAAGAAATCCAGAGAAAAACTAGCATTGAATGTAATGAAATGCCTTTTTCTGGGCGAGACTCAGAGGCTCCCTGGAGCTATAATGGGCGGATGTGTATATACTCAACCGTGGCAACAGTTAATTGACGGAGTTCTTGGCCTATCGGGGACCAGCACCATGACCTGGCCCTCTCAGAGAGGCACAAGGAGCAATGGCCTATAAATACCCCTGTGTAGTTGGAAGCAGTCTATATCTGCCATCTACCAGGTCAGGCACCGAGAAAGGTAGGAATCTCAAAACAAACTACAGCTGGTTAAAAATTTGCTAACCCAAAGCCAAACGAGCAAACAGAGCTCCCCAATCAGGCGCATATGCAAGCCGGAGATGAAACAAAGCACGAGAAATTTTACAGAATGGGGCAGAAGTGACATCCATCCCGAATGCAAGCGGGAGCGGATCCGCCAGTGCCGCACGATACGAGGAGACGGTATTCGGCATCATATGACCGTCCTGAAAGAGCCAAGAAAGGACAAGATATCCTGATCAAAAATAGAAGACAACCTACAAGGAGACAGAAAATGGTGAAAAGAACGCCCGGAAACTTCATTGTGTCGCCAAGATGAAGTTTGCAGGTGGGACACCATCAATGTAGCCACCTGATCACCATACATATGATAATAAACCCACGTCAAAAAGACCAGAAGCAAAGAGCGGAGTAGACCGAACCATCCATGTACCGGACCGGTCCGATCTGCTGACAGAAGCGGAGCCATGGAAAACCATGGAAAAACCCATGGAGTCTGGGTACAAACACTGAGCAAGCAGTGCCTGAAACCAAGGCTGGGCCGGCCACCAAGGGGGCCACTAGGACAACTCTTCTGTGGTAGGATTCTGAGTCAGAACCTGAAGCAACAGCTGGACTGGGAGAAAGAGGTACAGGAATCTTGATCGGTCCTGCTGAAAAGCGCCCACTATGAAGGCTTCGCAGTCGAGGAAGGGTGCTACATATATCGGGAGACACCTTGACGAAGCTCACGCGAAAAGATCCACCTCTTGGAGCCCATATGTCCGGCAGAGCCAATTGAAGGAGTCGGTGTCAACCGTCTATTCCGTGGATAGGGAAATGAACCGGGACAGGCTGTTTTCCAGGACGTTGGACTCTCCTCGGATATGTGCCTAACCCCCAGTTGATGGCAGACAAAGAATACCCCCAACCACAGGGGGTTTTTTCCAGAGGCCATCGTATTAGTCCGATAGCTCCAGGGAGTCTCCAGGGGCTCCCCACAGAAATAACTTGGTTGTAATTAGAATATACCTGGCCTATGACTGAAGTGGTGTGCCTCCTAAAGTGATATGGTTCCTGACTGACCTATCCGTGACTAAAGCTGCTTATTTAATATATGGTTAATGCTTACCTTATTTGTTTTTGGAAAAAGACTAGAATTGATCTCATCTGTGGCAAGAACTGACCTGGTCTGAAGCTAAGTTATGCATGTGGTGCTGTGGCACATGAGGCCAAGGTAGCTGTAGAGTCGGTTGTGACTGACAGGCAGCATCGGCACAACCATCATCCACATGTTGCTGTCTCTTCAGGCCACTCCCAGCCCGTTGATTTGGCGCACTCCTCGATTCCCCAGTATCATTGGGCCGTGCTAATAAATGAGACCTTGAAGTTTCATTAGGATTTTCCATTGCAATAGTAGAGGATGAAAACATGGCAGAGTGGTGTACTGTGGGATCAAGACAGCATGCAGAACATCGAAGTGGGAAATGCGTATGGTGAAATGCGCTGTGAGCAGGCATCTGTCCCAACATGCTTTGTCCTGAGTCAAGTCCACTCCTATGCATTTGAAGAGATAAATTCTGAGTAAACTGCTGTGGTGTACTAGAATGATGACAGGTTCCTGGATCACTGGAGCTATGAACCGATGCATCTGCTTCACATATGATCTGGTGGTGTGGAGGTTCCATATGGATGTCATCCTCCAATTCTTCCTCTGGAATCAGGTCATCCACCTCCCTACTGCTACTGCTGCTCACTGTGCTTATGCGCTTGTTGCTACCCAAACGCTTTAGCAGTTTACGACGTCGTTCAGCAGAGTCTATCATACCACACTGCTGAAAGTGGTCAGGCCTCAAATTAGTCAGGTGTTTTACAAGATTAATGTAAATAATAATAATATAATGCCAAAGGTGACAGTTATTTTACTTTTAATGAATGAGTACCAGTAACGAAATTATCATATTACACACAAAATTAAAAGCACACATGCATATTAGTGTACAGATTATGGAAACAAGAGTGTTTCCTTGTGTCAAATAGGCTGCTTTATTCAGTCCCCCATACACTTTGCAGTGGGTGTTTGCTTCAAGTCATTTTTACCTAACATTATTTGCTTCCTTTTAAATATACTTCAAATAAAAGGACTGTACATACAACAATGCCAAACATCATCATCTATTTTAATTTCTTAAAATATGTTCATCAATAATTTGGGTAACGCTAAGCTTGGGCTTTCTATACCTCTCTTACTTAGTGGGGAGCCGGTCGGCCGAGCGGACAGCACACTGGACTTGTGATCCTGTGTTCCCGGGTTCGATCCCGGGCAACGGCGAGAAACAGTGGGCAGAGTTTCTTTCGCCCTATGCCCCTGTTACCTAGCAGTAAAATAGGTACCTGGGTGTTAGTCAGCTGTCACAGGCTGCTTCCTGGTGTTGAAGGCCTGGTCGAGGACCAGGCCGCGGGGACACTAAAGCCCCGAAATCATCTCAAGATAACCTCAAGATAAGATGATACTTATCACGATTGCTATAAATTCATGCCATTTATCGTGAAAGTCTGCTCGTGAGTTTACCTTTGCCCCCTGACCAGGGAATGTAGTTATAAGTGAAGAGTCCCACATAGTCCATTGTTATAATTGGCTGTTCCATACACTTACTACAAAGCTTTAACCATTTATATGATGATAAAAGTCTTTAGGCCTTCCCTCCTTAACAGTATTATATATAATATACTGTGTACATTGTAAAAGATAATTTTGGGGGCGTGTGGAATGGATTAATTCAATTTACATTACTTCTTATGGGAAAATTCATTTTGGTTTTCAAGCAGTATCTGGGAATGGATTAAATTCAGAAACGAAGGTACCACTGTATATTCATTGGTAATTATAGGTAATTTACTGTATTTATTAAGACATTCTATGCTTCAGAAACAAGCTTCATTATGCTTCAGAAACATTAGCTTCAAATTCTTGCCAAAATTTGAGCTAATTGTATAATTTTTTCTACCAAACAGTGGGGGAAGATATTTGCTACTCACTAAAATTTTGTTTAAGGATTTTTAATGGTAGATATGGAAAGTGCATATTTTTTCTTATTGAAAAGTAATGAAAATCAGGAATAAAAATAATTTTCTGGAAGGGGTGAATGGTGGGTTCTTGAAGTCGTCTCATCTACCCCCCCCCCCCCCCTACTAAATCACACCAACCAAAAGTGTCATGTATGGCCTACTAGGGATTAAAACCAGAACCTCCACACCCCTCTTTTAACAGAGGCATAAGGAGCAGGGGACTGTTATACCTGGAGATATCTGAAGAGGGTTCTGCGTGTTCTTCTACTCCCCAAGCCCAGCCCAGGGCTCACTGAGGAAATATCAAGAAAGTCAGCAAATTAATACAGACAACTGCAAGGGTAAGAAAAATAAGAAACTGACACACCCAAATGAGTCCACAAATGATTCACTTAGAAATTAGGTTGAACCCCCCATTTAGTTACAGCTGGCTACCAATAGGGGGTAGTCCCACTGGGAACTTTCAGCATCTAACACCATCTTGGCCTCAGTCCTGATGTTGATGTCTGAATTTAAACATCTTCACCTTGAGCTGAATGTGTTTAGGAGATTCCTTCCCACAAGTGCTCATTTTGGCATTGCCCCTGTCCTGACAGTGATCTCTCTGGTGAGTTTGGAAGCTTCTCCCTTAGAGGCCATACTACTGTGTAGGGTGTCTCACTCTTAGTAGTACAAATCTTTGACTCCTTTGCAAGGCATTATGCTTGGGGGGTAATGACCTATGTAATTACCTAAGTGTAGTTACAGGATGAGAGCTATGCTCGTGGTGTCCCGTCTACCCAGCACTCTTTGTCATATAACGCTTTGAAACTACTGACTGTTTTGGCCTCCACCACCTTCTCACTTAACTTGTTCTGAATAGAGTCCTGGAGACTCATTACTTTGGTCAAGTTTCCCCGGTCGAGGTTCCAAGGTTTGTGTTGCGCTTGTGTTGCCCTGGGTCGAGTTCCTGTCCCAGTGTGTTATCTTCACAAGTGTCATTTTCACTCTCCCCCATCCCAGTAAGTCCTTTGTTTTTCTTCTACTTTCGGGTGTCACTGTTTGGTTCCTTCAGAAACCCAGCGTTGGATGTAATGAAATGCCTCTTTCTGGTAGGGCATCACAGACTCCCTGATTCCCTCCCCTCTACCAGGTTTATCAGTTTATGGTCTTTCAGCTCTGTACTGAGGCAAAGATGGTGTTGAAGGCTGAGTTCCCAGAGGTGCTGCCACCTATTGATGGCAAGCCATAACTAAGAGAGGTTCGACCTCGTTTCTGAGAGATTCATTTGCAAAGTTGTTTGGCTGTTTCAGTGGTTCATTTTTCTGGACCTTGCATTACTCCACTGACTTTCTGGGCATTTTCTCGATGACGGTGATCATAACAATCCCCTGCTCCCTGTCCCTCCCTCTCTGAGAGGGAGGAGGGGGGGGGGGGGGGGGGGAAGGTTCTAGCACTTGTCCCCTGAGTAGGCCATACAAGACTTCTATTGATGATGTGAATCAATAGTGGGAAACCATCACAGTAAAATAGCTTCAGGAAGCCACCAATGCCCACCCTACCAGAAAGAGGCCTTTTACTACATTGAACACTGATTTTGTTGAGTCCCAAGCAATCTCTTCTCCATAGACATGCAGTTAAATGTAAACACATACAGCTAGGGTTATGGAGTGTCAATTTTGTTCCCACTACCAATCAGAGGTCTTGAGCAGTAATATTTGATACAATGTGGGATATTATTTAACATATATTTCAGAATTCAAAGATATTTCTGATTACAATGCCAAAATCTTATGAAAACAATAATAATTAGGAATATAATATTACATATGATCTTAATTGTTGCATCCTAAGATGCTTTAGGGTCAGCAAAAATCTACTTCAAGTCCTGCTTGATCTACTTAATCTACCTAAAGTCCAACAGACAAACAATTCAACATCTGCTCTTAGTACTGTATACTGTGGAAGAAAATGAAAATCTGTAGTATACTACAGTAGATATACAGTAGTATGTATATACAATATACAAAGATACAGAAAATCTTTGTATATTGTAGAGGAATTTGAAAGTCTTTCTTTATTACTGCATAGGAAAAGGAAGGTCTTTTCTTGCAGCAGCAAAGTGATCTCTCTTAGGATACTGTAGAGGAAGAGTGACGTCTCTCTTCTTAGAATACAGTAAAGGAAGAGTGACATCTCTCTCAAGATACTATAGAGAAGAATGAAGTCTTTCTTAGGATACTATAGAGGAAATGAAGCTCTCACTGATAGGATACAGAAGAGGAAAAGGAAGTTCTCTCTTAGGATACTGTACGGATAAAGAAGTCTCTGTCTCGGGATATTGTGGAGGAAAATGAGCGCATCTCTTAAAATACTGCCAAGGTAGAGAAAAGTGTCTTAGAATACTGTAGACTCTTAGGATACTATGGAAAAAAAGGAATCTTACAGTACTGTAAAGAAAGAAAGAATCTCTCTCTCTCTCTCTTAGGATACTATAAGGGAGGAGGAAAGTCTCTCCTAGTATACTGTAGGGGAAAAGGAACGAGTCTCATTATAAGACTAAGAAAGCCTTTCTCTTAGGATACTAAAATCAAATCAAATATAGCATTACCGGTGTGGGAGAGTCCAAAGGATCTCCTGGAGTTGTTGGTGTCTCAGGGCCATCGGATGGTAGGGGACGACGGGTAAGGCTCAGCTGCAAGCGTCGTCGTTGATCACGCAGCTCCTCTTCACTACTGTCAATGCTAGTAGCTGAACTGGCCATGGACCACACCGAGTCTTTGTGATGTAGGGCTGTGTGATGTCGATAATGATGCTCGTCAACTTCATCTTGTTCTTCCTCGTCTCTGGAGTTCTCATCATCATTTTCTTCCAGTTCAGGATCGGATTCTGGCTGATCGTCTGGGCTTTCTTCCCCAGGTTCTACTTCATCATTGAGCAACTTACCATCACGATCAAGGTCAAAGGAGGCCTGGCCAATGATGAGTCGCTTTCGTGGGACCTCAGGTGACTTCTGTCCCTGAAGATCCAAGAGTCGTCGGTTCTCAGGATTCAACACTGATGATAGCCTGTTTGGTCGTCCTGCTGCTGCTAGTGTATTCATTATAGAAGCCTTTACCACAGTCTTTTTGGCAACTGCAGCAAATCTTTTGATCCCAGTTGACTGAGGTGGGGTCTGTGGCGAGCGAATACGCTCCTCATTGGCACGCTCCATCATAGAGCGAGAGCGATTCTCTCGCAAGTTATCGAGCAATTGTGTCATCAGGGGAGAAACTGTTGCTACAGATGACCGACGCAGAGCTGCACACAAAAATGAACAACCAAACAGAAGAATTAACAAAACAGAAGGTTGTAAATAAACATACAAATAAATACAGAATGAAACAAAACAGTTTAATTTAGGAAATAATATGCATAAACAAATAAAGACACAGTATAAGTATGAAAACTAAAAAAAAAAAAAAAAGCAGCAACAAAATTTACAACGGCACACACATTCTCCAAAGTCAGTATCATAGTGCAGTATGTGTATAGCTTGGTCATTACTGGTAGTAAACTTGACTATTACTAAGCCAGTTATGTAAAGAAATCAAAGAAATCAAATAAAATGCAAAACCATACAGAAATAAATGAATAATAAAAACTCAATAGTTTTGAAAACTCAAATAATGAAAACTCAAATAATGAAAAATTCAAAACTCTCTAATTGCTACAGCTTCCATTTCTACTAAAAAAATTTGGGGGGGGGATATCTTCATGGACCCCGTTAGCCTTCTTGAATAGCTTAAAATTTATTTCCAAACTTTTTAAAATTAAACAAAAATACTGTATAAACACAAAAATTCAGCATCTCACAAAAATCTTCACAACTACAGGGTATTTCAAATTCATTATTATTCTTGATTAATCAAGACTGGGGACACCATATTGTTTTGGCAAAACTCAAGAAAGCTCCCTCCTCCTCCTCCTCCTCCTCCAGGAAAAGGAGGAAAGAGAGTGGTTCTAGCAAACACGTGAGACAACAATCACATGCTGTCAATCACGTTGATTGACGGTTGAGAGGCGGGACCAAAGAGCCAGAGCTCAACCCCCGCAAACACAACTAGGTGAGTACAACTAGGTGAGTACAACTAGGTGAGCACAACTAGGTGAGTACAACTAGGTGAGTACAACTAGGTGAGTACAACTAGGTGAGTACAACTAGGTGAGTACAACTAGGTGAGTACAACTAGGTGAGTACAACTAGGTGAGTACAACTAGGTGAGTACAACTAGGTGAGTACAACTAGGCGAGTACAACTAGGCGAGTACAACTAGGTGAGTACAACTAGGTGAGTACAACTAGGTGAGTACAACTAGGTGAGTACAACTAGGTGAGTACAACTAGGTGAGTACATAAACTTGTAGATTTTTGTTCACTTCATTTCTTCCGTCAGCATGAGCATGAGTCACACAGAAGTCACTCACTGCATTTTACATGAATATATTGAACAGCTTGAGAATGGCATCTGTGGCAGCAGCAGAAAGCAAAGCAATAGACAAGGAATCCCCAGATGAGGAACATACATCAATTTGCAACTACATAGAGAATAATCCCTGTACTGCCCAAGAATGGAGACTCGCCTAAAGATGAGTGTGATCTTTGTGGTCCACTGCTGTTAATGCCAAAGGTACCTTTAACGGTAACCTGGCCGTGGAGCTCCTAAAATCGAACAGAGTAAATAAGAGAAGGCACAAACAGAGCACCTCTGATACCTGTGAAGGAAGAGCCAAAAGCCTTTAAAATCTATAGCAACTGCCTTCAACTCAAAGGCATCAACAATGGAAGGTCCTGAACCCCAAAGGCACATAATGTACCAAAGAAATAGGGTAATTGAAGAAAGGTTAGTAAGTTGCACAGCCTTTGTCAATTTCCTGGGGAGTGGGCAGCCACAGAAGCCAACTGCTCCAGCCCCTTTCTCCATTGTTACTCACGGATCCAAAGCCCTAAGTTGTTTAGGAAGTGAATCAATGCAGATGGCTAGGAAGCTGCGTAGCAAATATGGACACCTTTAAGAGAAAACTAGATAGTTTTCCTTAAGAGGTGCCGGACCAACCGAGCTGTGGTGGATATGTGGGCCTGCAGGCCGTTCCAAGCAACAGCCTGTTGGACCAAGTCAAGCCTGGCCCTGGGCTGGGTTTGGGGAGTAGAACTACTCCCAGAATCCCATCCAGGTACAATCCATGTACAAACAGAAGATGAGTGAACCAGATTGTCGAAGGTTAAAACAAAAGCAACAGAATATGCCGTGTCCTTTCTCATAAAGAAGATGAGGATCAGCAGCACTGCCACACTGCTATGAGAAAGCGTTACAAATGCCTGTAGTGCAAAGCCCAATCATGCAATGTGACCCCAGCCTAAAGGTTAACAGGTTGCCAGCCAAAAAAAAAAAGCATGCTCGTCCAAAACAGAAGTCCAACACTGACAACTGGCACCCGCTCGTGGGTCAAAGGACTCCTGAACCCAACAGACAAAAATTTTATCTTGGACAACAGAAATGGTCATCAATGTCCACAAAAACAGCATTGAATGTAAGGAAATGCCATTTCCCGAGTGAGTCCTGGAGGCTCCCTAGAGTTATCAGACTGATATGCTATATGTTAGTCTGGGGCATCAGTCAATTGGAGTTCACCCTATTGGGGACCACGAGCCAGAACCCTCAGAGAGGCAAAGAGACCAATGGCTTATGGAAACCCCCTTGTACTTGGGGGCATTCCACATCTGCCATCGACCAGGGTTAGCACCCAGAAAGGTAGGCACAACAAAACAGACCACACATAGTAAGAAAATTGCAACCGAAGACTGAACAGAGGTACAGGAATCCCCAACCTAAAACAAGCAAACAAGCAAACATAACACCCCGCCGCTGTGTTGCTCGTCCATACAGCCCTCTCCTTACTGGGAGGGGAAAGCCCCAGACCCCCCGACTGGCTACTCAACAACTCCAGTTCAGAGGCTGATCATTAAAACAAAGCGAAAACTGCCGACCGAAGGGAAAAATGGTGCTAGGGAGCTCTGGAGCTCACCCAGAAAATGGAGTATCATTATATTCAACGCTGGTTTTCTGTGGGGAGCCCCTCTGGCTTCCCTGGAGCTACCTAACCAAAGACAAGTAAAAGAGGAACTTACCAGGGAGGCAGCCGCTACTCATTCCTCAACTCAAAGTCGAGACAACTGGCTGCAACCTGCGACAAAAGTCTCACACACACGAATGACCAGGACTAGGGACGTTGACCAAATAACGGGCGGCCAGGACCCTGTTCAACCAAAAAAAGCCCTGCACCCAAATGTCAGCCCAAGATATGTTGCCAAAGATGGCAGCCAAAGCAGCAAACTTATGAACGTCATGGGTACGAGGATAGAACATAGGCTGGCTAGACTTAATGACCCTGCGAACAATCTGGGAGACTCGAGCCATGGAACAGGGAATGAGGGAAACTGGATCAACCCAAAGAACGTCCCCGGCCACCAGGGCTGAGGTGCGCAAATAACGATAGATCTGCAACCGGACACAACACATGATGCACCCCCGACCTGACCAACCAAGCATCAATGACCCAAGGGCCCCTCCGGAAAGCTGCAGTCTCGTTCTTTGCCAGAAAAGAAGGAGACGGCTGCAACCGAACAAAATGACCATCAAGACTGAAGGAGCAGAAAACCCTGCGCCGGAGGACAGCACGAAGCTTGCCAACCCAACTCCCCCAGACGCCAATGTCAACAGAAAAAGAGCCTTGGAAAAACACTTGAACCGAAGGGGCCACCACAAACAGAAGATGAAAGAGAACACCCTGTCCAAGGACCAGGAAGGCTCAGGTGGCGCATGAGCAGGGCCGGAGGTGACACAAAGCATGAGAAAACTTATGGAATGGGGCAGAAGTGATATCCACCCCAAACACAAACTGAAGCAGCTCCACCAGCACTGCACGATACGAGGCGACAGTATTTGGCATCAAATGACGGCTCGGTGTTGGTTCGGGGTCTTGAAGTGGGTAGAATGGTTCGGGGCCACAGCACGACCCCGAACCAACACAGAGACAGTAGAAGCAAGAACATAAGCTACTTATGTTCATGCATGTAATAGCCTATTGATATTCATTCATCCACTTGGTCCTCTCAATCACGTCTTGTACCACCTCCCCAAGAGAATATATGCTCTTGCTAAAGCATTGCAAATTTGTCTTTCAAAATGTAAGGAGTGCCTTGCGAAACATATCCCTAGGCATCAGACCATAAATGTGAAAATGAACATTGAAGAGTTAATTTTTCAACTTACCTCGACAGTGAAGAAAAACATAAGAAATATTGAGAAGATTCGTGCCAGAATCATTAATCTTACCCTTTCGATTATATTCAACAACATATGTTTACAAGCAAGACTGCTACAAAAATATACTAATTATTATATACAGTATAAATATATATATAAATATACAGTATATATATTTATAAAGTATATAAATTTGTATATTTATTATAAATATATATTAAGTTATATATAAACATATATAAAGCAGTAGTAATGACTACCACCTCAAGCAATAAGGCCACCCATAGATTATATCCCAGTAACAACATCTATCACATCCTGGTGTAAGGAATTAGAATGTACCATAACCAAAACACAGAAGTATATTTATTTCTTATATTTATTATTGAGGAGGTACCTTATAATAGTAACTGAAGGAATAGTTGTAGGTGACAAGTCAAATATCTTGGCGAGATCACAGTTAAGGTACGTTAATATCTTCATGTTGTAAAATACATTTTGTTATGGAGAAGATGAAAATATGTATCAAGTATCACAGAGATATATATGTTTCACATTTTGTACACAAATGATATGACATTTATTTATATGTATTTATAATGTGACATATTATATATATATGTATATACAGTATATATATTATTTTATTTTTATTTACTTATTTTTGTTTTCTTTCCTACCTACCTACCTAATAGGAATAAGCATCTTGGTCTATTAGGTTGTACTGTAGGCCAAGTTGCCTGACAAGCTCAGTTTTCCTGAAATTATATATTTTTCCAATATTGTTTTCTTGTGGAATGATAAAGTTTTCATTAGATCATACATGATTTCATATTTTTTTAATTTGAATTCAAACTAACAAAGAAATTTTATCAAACCTTACCCAACCAACCTAACATAACATGACTAAGTCAGTAATTCATGTTCTTAACACTTTTGCCCACCGATGAAGTATGGAGTCAAAAGTTTACTAGTTCAATACTCACTGATGACT